GCGACTTCCGCACCCTGCATTATCGATGGCAAGGATATCAAGCTTTCGCTCTCCATTGGCATTGCGCGTGCCACAGACGGTTCCTGGCGGGTTTCCCGTCTTCTTCACTGCGCGGACCTTGCGCTTTATCATGCCAAACACAACGGTCGGTCCACATTCTCCTGGTATACGCCCGGTCTGGACGCGGAAGCCCAAAAGCGACAGGAAGTCGAAAACGGGCTCGCCAAGGCACTCAAACTTGACCAGTTCAAGCTCGTCTACCAGCCACAATACGCGCTGCGCGACGGTACGCTGCGAGGTTACGAAGCTCTGGTTCGCTGGGAGCACCCCACCAAAGGGGAAATCCGACCCGATCTTTTCATCCCGATCGCTGAAGACTGCGGTCTGATCGACGAAATCGGCACCTGGGTGTTGAACCACGCGTGCCGGGAAGCAATGCTTTGGGAAGATCAGAGCAAAAAGGTAGCGGTCAATGTTTCAGTTGGGCAGTTCGTCGCCGGTGAAACACAGAAAAGAGTGGCGCAGGCGCTGAACAAGTCCGGACTTAACCCGAGGCGCCTGGAAATCGAAATCACCGAGAGCCTGCTCATATCCAACACGGAAGCCGTGATCGAGACGCTGCGTCAGATCCACGACATGGGCGTTTCAATCGCTATGGATGACTTCGGTACGGGATATTCGTCACTGAGCTATCTCAGTCTCTTCCCGTTCGACAAGATCAAGATCGATCAGGCCTTCATCCAGAACCTCGGCAAGGACACGAGCACGGATGCCATCGTCACATCCATCGTGGGACTGGGTCGGTCCCTGAACGTGACCATCACGGCCGAGGGAGTAGAGACGGAAGAACAGGCCATTCTCCTGAGCGCCGCTGGCTGTGATCTCGTGCAAGGCTATATGTTCGGCAAACCGGGCACCGTGGCAAAGCACGAAGCCGCCTACCCGATCTTCCCTCACAATGAGGAAGGCGGATTTTGGTTTCCGCAAAAACGGAAGCAAGTCCTGCCGCCGCCAAAAATTTCGCTTTCGCCCCAACTTGCGCAATACGCAACGCTTGCCGCTCCGGAAGAAACTTCAGAAGAAGAAAACGAGACAGCGACCGTTTGAGCTGCGTCTTCGCGAGAGCATGAATGCAGGCGATCACTGCGTCGGATCTAGAGTCCGGCCCCCTGGGCAACCTGTTCCAGCGCCATGTCCTTTTCACGCGCCGCCTTGCGTTCCGAGTACCTGTCGACCAGATAATCCGATCTGCCGCGAACGAGATAGGTGAATTTCATCAATTCCTCGATGACGTCCACGACACGATCATAGAGCGGCGAAGGCCTCATGCGGCCTTCATCATCGAACTCCTGGTAGGCCTTGGGCACCGATGACTGGTTCGGGATCGTCACCATGCGCATCCACCTGCCGAGAACACGCATCTGATTGACCGCGTTGAACGACTGCGATCCACCGGAAACCTGCATCAGCGCAAGCGTTTTCCCTTGCGTCGGTCTGATCGCGCCCGTACTGAGCGGGATCCAGTCGATCTGGGATTTCAGGACGCCAGTCATCGCGCCGTGGCGCTCCGGCGAACACCAGACCTGTGCTTCCGACCATGTACAGGCCTCACGCAATTCGGCAACCTTGGGATGGTCGATGCCAACATCGTCCGGCAGGGGCAGGCCTGCAGGATCAAACACCCTTGTTTCGGCACCAAATGCCTTGAGCAGTCTTTCAGCTTCCAGCGTCAGAAAGCGGCTGTAAGAACGTTCGCGCAACGATCCGTAAAGCAGAAGGACACGGGGCCGGTGAGTTTCATGCCCGACAGCGTCCCGATGCGAAGGTGCTATCGCGTCCAAGTCGATGGATGAAATGTTCGGCAGATCGGTTGCATTCAATAAAAGGTCAGTCATTCGCGGTACCGGAGGACACCACTTCCCCGTCTTCCTTGGTGAAGGAACCAAGGTCAGCTGGAAGAAGGTCCATAACCTTTTCAGACGGCCGGCAGAGGCGAACACCCTTTTCGCTGACAACGACCGGTCGATTGATCAGGATCGGATGCTCCAGCATGAAGTCGATCAGCTGATCATCGGACCACTTGTCCTCGCCAAGTCCCAGCTCATCATAAGGCGTACCCTTCTGGCGCAGAAGGTCCCTCACTGAACAGCCCATGCGCCCAATCAGGTCGACAAGTTCCTCCCGCTTGGGCGGAGTTTTCAGATATTCTATGACATCAGGTTCCACACCCGATTTTCGGATCATTTCCAGAGTATTGCGCGATGTTCCGCATTTCGGATTGTGGTAGATCGTAATGGTCATTTTGGTCCTGTTTCGTCAAAGACTTGATGATTTGATGATATTGGAGTGCGACAGGCCGCAAATCTCGGGATTGTTGCCGCAACAGTCTTCCATCAGGAAACTCAGCAGGCTCTTCATCTGTTCATAGTCGACCGCATAGCGAATATGCCGCCCTTCCCTTTGCGCATTCAACAGGCCCGCCCGTTCCAGCGTGGTCAGGTGAAATGACATCCGCGTCGGCTGTACATCCAACTTCTCCGCGATCGTGCCCGACGGCAGTCCCAACGGTCCATGCGTAACGAGAAGCCTGAAAGCCGCAAGTCGATCTTCCTGTGCGAGCGCACCCAGCGCTGATATGGCTGCCTGTTCCTTCATATTTCGACCTTACAAGAAATCTTGTAGTTTGCAACGCACAATAGTGTCGCACTCTATCGATCTTCTCACATGGCAGCAGCGGCCCGTGCAGCCTGATCGTAGTTTCCCGAGACCAGCCGCATAGTGGCAGCCAACCGGGAAAGCTCGCTTTCATCGAGGCCCAGCGCCTTCATTGGCTCGACCAGTAGCGCTTCCCTCAATCTCCTGTATTCCAGGCAGGCTTTCTCACCCTTCGAAGTAATTTCCGCGGTTTTTCCTTGCCGCGACGACCGGAACTGATCAGTCCGGCTTTTGCGAGTTTCTTCAGCGCATAGGTAACCGTATGCGTGTCCTCGATATTCAGGACCAGGCAGATATCGGAAAGCGTTTTTGCGCGACCGCGATGATTGACCGTGTGCAAGACCAGCACATCCAGCGGGCCGAGGCCCTCCGAGCCACTGGCCGACATGCAGCGGACCATCCATCGATGATAGGCATTGACCATCATCGTTACGGCAAATTCGATTTCAGAAAGTGCCGGCATCGCTCCGGAGGCCAGATGAGCCGCCGAAACCACCGGTCCGATGGCTGCACCGGTGTCCGGTTTGGTCTTTGGGGTGGATTTCTCGCTCAAACGTCAGACTTTCAGGGTTCGGATCCTTAAAACAGCTTCAATAGCTTAGCGACAATCCACCGGAGCTGAAATCCCCAACGAAGATAAACTTTCCTCATGCAACTGAATTGTCTAGCTTTCACTCTCAAGCGATCAACCAGGATCTGATGGCGTGCAGCTGGCAGAAAGAGAAAAACCAACCAACCCTGCCGCAGGTATCCTGCTAGTCGTCATTTTGATGATAGCCGCCTTCCTCCGATTTTACGAACTGGACAGAACCAGCCTGTGGTATGATGAGGCGGTCTCGTGGAGCCAGTCGAAGGGAACCTTGGCCGAACTCCTGACATCGGTGGCCGCAGACAACTATCCACCGCTGCATAATGTCATTTTGTGGCTCGCCATGCCTTTGATTGGAGACAGTGAAATGGCGTTGCGGATGCCCTCGGCAGCTCTGGGCGTCCTCGCTGTCTGGTTTGTCTACCTGATCGGAAAGCACCTTTCAGGACGGGAAGCCGGGCTGCTCGCCGCAGCCTTGCTGGCGTTGTCGCCGCTTCACATCTGGTATTCTACGGAAGCCCGCATGTATGCCTTGCTAGCGGCCTGCGGCCTCGTTTTTCTGTTTGCTGTGCTGAAGGTCCTTCAGCGACCTTCATGCTTGTGGATCACACTGCTGGTTTTTGGCGGCACCTGCTTTCTCTACAGCCATGTCTACGCACTGTTCGCCTTTGCCGGTGTCGGTATTGTTTGCGCGAGTTTTGCGCTCGCCCAAATCCGCAGCACGAAGAGCCTAGCCGGAAACAATGCAGTCGTGGTGTGTCTGGCAATGGCTGCCAGCACGATTTCGTTTTTGCCGTGGCTGTATCTGATTCTGAAACGCGCCCGGTCAGTCGCCGACGAAGGTTTCTGGATTGCCTATCCTGATCTTCCGTTTCTGGAAACGCTGGTCTTCGGGCTTGCTGGCTCGTTGGCTTTGTTCTGGGTGCTGATTGGTTTGGCCCTCAATGGTGTCCTGATGGCCTCTTTCAGTCCGCCCCGAACAAATGCAGATGCTTCCGCGCCACGCCAAGAGATCATGGTCTGCCTCGCCTACACTCTGGGGCCAGCAGTCCTCGCCTATCTATATTCCGTGCTTCTGCAACCAATCCTGTTCGACAGGTATCTGATCGCCGCATGGCCCGGATTGATCGTGCTCGCTGCGGTTGGAGCCACCCGGTTGCTTCCCCGTCTGGCGCCTGTTGCTCTTGTATGTGTCGCGATAGTGCTAACCTATCCGCAGCTGGATTTCACCCTGAACACCAAGATCCGGCCGGAATGGCGTCAAATCGCTGAATATTTTGAGGAAAACAGCAGTCCGGAAGACCGGTTGCTCCTTTACAAGGGCTTTGCCGCACCAGTTCTCAGCTACTACCTGCGCGACCCGGACCAATTCAAAGCCGTAGAAGCACTCGACCAATTGAAGGAAAGCTTGGGTACGCAAAAAGAGTCAACCACATGGTTGCTTCTGGTTCACAGCAATGAGCAAGAGACTTCAAAGGCAGCCGAAATCTTCCTCAGCAACGGCGGGAGCGAGGCTATCCGGGCATTCGGTTGGGGAGCAAGCGGACTCACCCTCCTGACATCGAACCAGAACACACGCTGATCAGTCTTCAAAACGATACCGTATCGGGTGCAAAAGTCATTCGCGAGTAACCTCTAACAGATTTTCATCGACAATTTATCGATAAAGTGTCATTGTAAATCGAAGCCGAAATTCAAATTGCGTTGTCGCTCCGCGCGACTGGCGAACGACCGGCAGGACAAAGGGACAGAACATGACATCCAAGTGGGACTTCTGGATCGACCGAGGTGGCACATTCACCGATATTGTCGGACGCGCACCTGATGGCACTCTCCACCCGCACAAGGTTCTGTCTGAAAATCCCGAAGCGTACCGGGACGCAGCCATTCAGGGAATTCGCGAGATTCTCGGCGTGGATGCCGGTGCCGCGATTCCGTCGGAGAAAATCGCGACGGTGAAGATGGGAACGACCGTTGCCACCAACGCCCTTCTGGAGCGCAAGGGTGAGCGCACGGCACTCTTCATCACCAGGGGCTTCCGCGACGCGCTTGAAATCGGCTACCAGGCTCGTCCGAAGATTTTTGCCAAGGACATCATCAAGCCTGAACTCCTTTACGAAAGTGTTCATGAGGTTCCGGAGCGGGTCTGTGCGGACGGCACAGTGGAATTGGTCATTGATGAAGATAGTGCCCGAACGCAAATGCAGTCGGCCTGGGACGACGGTATCCGCTCCATTGCGATTGTCCTGATGCACGCCTACGCCTTTCCGGCGCACGAACAGATCCTGAAAAGGACCGCAGAAGAGATCGGGTTTCCGCAAATTTCGGTTTCGCACGAGGTTTCGCCGCTGATGAAGCTGGTCGGTCGCGGCGACACGACGGTGGTGGACGCCTATCTCTCCCCGATCCTGCGCCGATATGTCGACCAGGTGCAGCAGGAGCTTGGACAAGGCCCCCGGCTGATGTTCATGCAATCTTCAGGTGGCCTGACCGCCGCGGATCTGTTTCAGGGAAAAGACGCGATCCTCTCCGGCCCCGCAGGAGGCGTGGTCGGCGCAGTGGAAACCTCCCGCATGGCCGGGTTCGAGAAGATCATCGGCTTCGACATGGGCGGAACCTCCACCGACGTCTGTCATTTCGACGGTGAATACGAGCGCGCCTTCGAGACCGAAGTTGCCGGTGTCCGCATGCGCGCGCCGATGATGATGATCCACACGGTTGCTGCCGGCGGCGGCTCCATCCTGCACTACACGGACGGGCGGTTTCAGGCAGGACCGGATTCTGCCGGCGCGAACCCCGGCCCGGCCTGCTACCGTCGTGGTGGTCCGCTCACTGTGACCGACGCCAATCTGATGACCGGCAAGCTCGCACCCGAGTTCTTTCCGAAGATTTTCGGACCGAACCAGGATCAACCACTCGATGGAGAGGTTGTCCGGCGGAAATTCGCGGATCTTGCCAATGAGATAGGCGATGGCCGTTCGCCCGAAGAGGTCGCCGACGGTTTCTTGAAGATTGCCGTTGAGAACATGGCCAATGCTATCAAGAAAATCTCGGTGCAGCGCGGTTATGACGTCACAGAATACGCACTGACATGTTTTGGCGGTGCGGGCGGTCAGACCGGCTGCCGCGTTGCAGACAGCCTCGGTATGAAAACCGTTATTCTGCACCCGTTCTCCGGCATTTTGTCGGCCTATGGCATGGGGCTCGCGGATATCCGTGCCGACCGTCAGAAGGCGGTTGTCAAGGTATTGACCGAAGAGCTGATGCCGGAGTTGCACGTTCTGCGGGATCAGCTCGCAATAGTGACGGAAGCAGAGCTGGAACGTCAGCAGATTGCCAAAGATCAACGCCACACGACTGCAATCGTTCACCTGCGCTATGACGGAACGGATACACCTTTACCGGTTCACTTGAGCACTGTCGAAAAAATGCGCGCGGCATTTGAGGAGTCTCACAAGAAGCAATTCGGTTTTGCTTACGACAACAAACCCGTGGTCGTCGAAGCGATGGAAGTGGAAACGGCAGGCGGTGGCGCCGGCCTTGTCGAACCAGATCTCGACCTGCAACCCAACGCAGCGGTTCCGGCAACATCGACAAGAACCTATTCGGAAGGTGCGTGGCATGACGCCGGCATCTACCGGCGCGAAACCCTGAAGCCCGGCATGAAGGTTCCAGGGCCAGCCGTAATCATCGAATCCCACGCGACAATTGCCGTGGAAGACGGATGGCAGGCCGAGATCAACACCAAAGACCATGTTGTCTTGAACCGGGTGGTGCCGCTGAAGCGCGCCGATGCCATCGGCACGCATGCGGATCCGGTGATGCTTGAGGTCTTCAACAACCTCTTCATGTCGATCGCCGAGCAGATGGGCGTCACGCTGCAAAACACAGCCTACTCGGTCAATATCAAGGAACGCCTGGATTTTTCCTGTGCCGTATTCAATGCAGATGGTGCCCTGGTCGCCAATGCACCACACATGCCGGTTCATCTGGGTTCCATGGATCGTTCCGTCGAAACAATCATCAAGCTGAACACGGGCAAGATAAAACCGGGTGACGTCTTTGCCCTGAACGCGCCCTATAATGGCGGAACACACCTGCCCGATATCACAGTAGTCTCCCCTGTTTTCGATGACGACGGCGAAGACATCCTGTTCTGGTCTGCCTCTCGCGGCCACCATGCGGATGTTGGGGGATCCGCTCCGGGCTCCATGACACCCCGCGCCACGAAAGTGGATGAAGAGGGGGTCCTCTTCGACAATTTCAAGATTGTCGACGAAGGTCGTTTCTGTGAGCAGGAACTGATCGATCTGCTGACCAATCACCCCTACCCGGCGCGAAATCCGCATCAGAACGTTGCTGATCTTTCCGCACAGATTGCCGCGAATGAAAAGGGTATTCAGGAACTCAGGAAAATGGTGGCGCATTTCGGACTGGACGTCGTCCAGGCCTATATGGGCCACGTGCAGGATAATGCTGAAGAAAGTGTTCGCCGGGTGATCGAAGCCTTGAAGGATTCCGAATATGTCTACCCGACAGACCAGGGATCCGAGATTCGCGTCAAGATTACCGTCGACAAGGAGCGTCGCGAAGCCACGGTCGATTTCACGGGTACGTCACCGGTCAAGCCGAACAATTTCAACGCTCCGGAACCCGTTACACGAGCAGCAATCTTGTATTGCTTCCGCGTGATGGTTGAAGGCGACATTCCGATGAATGCCGGATGTCTCAAACCGATCCACATCATCATTCCCGACGACTGCATGCTGCGCCCTTCCTATCCGGCCGCCGTCGTTGCGGGAAACGTGGAAACGTCGCAGCATGTCACGAACACGGTCTTTGCAGCGCTTGGTGCCATGGCGAACGCGCAAGGCACGATGAACAATCTGACATTTGGCAACGACACCTATCAATACTACGAAACCATCTGTTCGGGTTCACCGGCGGGACCCGGGTTCAACGGTACCGATGGCGTTCACACCCACATGACAAATTCACGCCTGACCGATCCGGAGGTTCTGGAATTCCGGTTTCCTGTTCTCCTGGAAGATTTCCATATCAGGAAGGGGTCTGGCGGTAAGGGAAAATGGTCTGCCGGCGACGGCACATGGCGAACAGTGCGCTTCCTTGAAAAAATGGACTGCGCCATCCTGTCGTCGCACCGGACAATCAGGCCCAAAGGCATGAACGGCGGTGAAGACGGAGAACTGGGTCGAACCCAGGTACGTCGCCTCGATGGCTCGATAGAAGTGCTGGAGGGCTGCGATCAGACGGTGCTCGACGCTGGCGAGGCAGTTACGGTCATTACACCCACTGCAGGCGGCTGGGGCAAACCATGACCCGTTTCCGCCAATCACACGTCACAAACGGCCGCAATCTTTGCGGCCGTTCACCATGCACGCTATCGTACGATTGCATTGATATTTCTACCAGTAAGTGAAAAATACAACTTGAACAACAACCAAAATTAACCGAATCTTCAGCGCCCCCTCGTTTAAATTAATCACATTACGCAACGGTCATAAGGCCTTTACGCGGATTGTGAGAGAAACGATGACGCCAGGTTCAAATCCGATTTCAAATTCGGTTGCAGCGAAAATTCTCTCACTGGTTGCGTTTCTATGTATCGGGCTGGTCGTCGTTGCCGCGGTTGCAATCATTCAAATGAACCTCATCGGCAAGGAACTGGCCAACATTGCGGAAAAGGACATTCCGCTTACCGAGGCTATCAGTCATGTGACCAATCATCAGTTGGAACAGGCAGTGCTCGTTGAACGCATGATGCGCATCGCCGGTGTCAGCGATGAAGCCGAAAAATCACATTTCGGCACCATGAAGGAGCATCTTCAGAAACTTGAACAAAAGGTCGCTGATGAAATTTTGAAAGCCGAGCAACTGGCTGAGTATGCGTTGGCCAATTCGAGCACGGAAGTTGAGCGCAAGGAGTTTGAAATGGCGGTCGATCGTTTGAAACAGATCGAACGGGAATATGCGACATACAAGCTCCATGTCGACGAAATCATGATTTATGTTGAACAGAACGACCTTGAGGCGGCAAACAAGCTCCTGATCACCCTGGAGGAAGAACAGGAACGTCTTGATCACGAGCTCATCGCTCTGCTTGAAGAAATCGAGGGATTTACACTAGCCGCCGCGCTGGCAGCTGAAGCGCATGAAAAGCAGGCGCTTCGTCAAATAACCGTCGTATCGATTGCCACGTTTCTGCTTTGCGGAATCGGTTCGGTTCTCTTTGCCCGTTTCATGATCTCAAAGCCTCTCAATGAAGTATCCGGAGGACTGTTCGAGCTTGCCAGGGGCAATACGGATGTAAGCGTAAGGGTACGTTCACGGGATGAAATCGGCAAGGTCGCCCAGGCCTTCGAGGTTTTCCGGGATAACGTGATCGAAATGAAGCGCCTGCAGGAACAGGCCCGTGAAGAAGAAGCTCAGGCAGAAGCCGACCGGCGCGACACTCGTTTACGGCTGGCCGATGAACTTGAAGGCAAGTTGATGACGAGTTGCGAGGCTGTTGTCACGGCGTTGCAGCATCTGTCGGATGGCGCTCACCAATTGGCAAAAAACAGTGATGAAACCCTTGAACGATCCAACACCGTTGCTGCCGCAGCAGAAGAAGCGACAGCATGCGTTCAATCCGTCGCCTCTGCGTCAGAGGAACTTGCCAGCTCGATCCAGGAAATCAGTCGCCAGATAACGTTCGCCAACACGTCGACCACAAACACGTCAGAGCAAGCGGCAACATCGGATCAAACTGTCAGGCAGCTTTCCTCAGCCGCGGAAGAAATAACAGAAGTGCTGAAGCTGATCAGCGACATCGCCGACCAGACAAACCTGCTCGCCCTCAACGCGACAATTGAAGCCGCAAGAGCCGGAGAGGCCGGCAAGGGCTTCGCAGTTGTTGCGTCCGAAGTTAAAGCCCTTGCCAATCAGACTGGCCAGGCGACCGACCAGATAGGAACACAACTCAGCGGAGTTCAATCAGGGGCAGCCACCTGTTCGGACGCCATTACTAGGGTCGTCACATCCATGAGCGCAATTCGCGAACAGGTTTCAAGTATCGCGTCGGCGATAGAGGAACAAAATGCGGTGACAGCTGAAATCGCCAAGAATGCATCCGAGGTTGCCCAGGGTAGTGCTGATATTTCGATGAACATCACTGAAGTCAATCAGGCGGCACAGGTTTCCGGTGAAAGGGTGAAAGAAGTCGCAGGCCGGGTTGACGACGTATCGACCCAGATCAACACCATCAGAAACGGTCTCGCCGATTTCCTGGACCATTTGAGAGCTGCGTGACGCAACCGGAGTGTCCTGAACGGAAGGTGCTCCCGCTCAGGACATTTTCGAGCGATGCGCCTCACTCCATCTTTGGAAAGTTCATCAATCTGTAATTCAGATCAGATACGCGCGTGCAATGTGTCGACCGTATCACAACAACCGTTCTTTCCTTGATCGGTCGTTTCATCGCCTTGCCGGAACACAATGGCAGATAGATCGCTCCTTCCTCCGCCAGTTCATGTACCACGCCTCTTGAAAGTGACAGCCCTTGTGCCAATACCTTGTCCATTCGCACCGGACACTTATGCGGATTCAAGATGGTCAGGTTTGATTGAGAACCGTTTTCGCTCGTGCGGACCTGCAACCGTTTTGTGATCGAGAACTCGGGACCATGTCCCGACGCTACACAAGCCGAATTGGCGAGAGGATTTGAGGCAATTCGGTGCGCAAGGGACGCGTCGTTTTCCTGAAGTGATACCAGCAGATCACGCGGAATGTTCCCGACCGGTCGTCTTTCGAAGAGGGAGAGGTTCCAGCGATTGTCACATGCAAGACACTTGTAGATCAGCCAGGCATCCAACCGGCTACCATTCGCGTTCAGCCGGAATTTGCCGGTCGAGGCAAACGAACTGATTGCGCCACAGCGGCGACAGGGGTGTTTGATTTGGAGGGATTCGGTTGTCAGGACAGTCCATTCAACACTTGATAACAATGACATTCCGTCGGTCTTCCTGCAAAGGGAAGTCCGTCGACGGGCGGTCGGGATCCTGCCGGCTGGAGAGCCGGCGGAATTCGGTCTGGCTGTGTTGGATATTCAGGATGTTGTGGCGTATCGGAAAACAATACGGCAAGGCAAAGCCACACCGGTCCCGATCCGCCTCATGACGAACAAGTCAATGGGTCACTCCTGCGAGTAACCAGCGGATACGAAGACCGGTCAGAGTGTAGGCAAGACGATCATCCTGATTGAAAAACGGATCGGTTTTTTAGCCGATGCTGACGGGATGGACAAGAGGTACCGGGAAAGCACGATTTCCAGGTGATGCCGTGGCAACACTCAGGCGCCCCTGGCCTCCCTGGCCAGGTTTACAAGCACCGGGCGGACTTCTTCCGGCTGGTCGAGAACATTTGCAAACCACAGCCGCTCAACCTTGTCGCCAGCAACAAGATCCAACCCTTCGGGATCAAGACCTGCGAGACGCCAGTTTGCAGTTTCTGCCTTGCACAGCACTTCAGCATAAAGCTTGACGGCGTCGGCGTGGTCTTCATTCATGTGTGTCACTGCACCACGTTCCATCGCAATCCAGCTTTCAGCATCGCCGAGCGGTGACAGCATGTCTTCAGACTGAAGTTCAAAAGCCTTGCCAAAGCCGCCATTCAGGCTTGCCCGTTCGAGCTCGAGCCGAAAAAGGAAAAGTCGCCAAAATCGGCATAAAGCTCGGCTTTGGGATGGCGCAACAGGTAGCGACGACGCAGTCGTTGATGAACGTCGCCACCACGCTCGATCCGGTGCGCTTTGCAGAAAAGGGAGACTCTGGGATGGGCAAGAGGATCGCCTTTCCCGGGCTCCCCGAGCAAGAGGGAACAGACCGGTGTTTCCAGGATCGCGGCCGTATGGCCTGACAAGGTGCTGGTCAATATGACGGGCGTCCCGTCGAGATCCGTTGCAACAGCAACACGGCTGGCAAGCGGAAGTCCTGTGCCCGCTTCCAAAACAGCGAGTGCACCGAAACGGGCCTTCCGGATCAGGGTCCTTGCCAGCCGACGCGACGCGTCATCCGTTTCCCTGACTACTGACTGCGGTTCTCTTTCGTTTTTGTCTTCTGATTCCAAACCGGTCTCCTGCACTCATGCCGCGTCTCGAATAGCTCCCTCCGGAACAAGAAACACCACAGCAGAAACCTGAACGCAAGATGAACGGCCACATCAGAACCGGTTCAGGGCATCTGTGCGATTGTTCATTCGTCAGCTACGGCGCCAGACAGTAAGGCGCAGGCACCTGGAGAAACAACCGATGAAAAAAATGAGCAAAAGCCTGATTGCCGTCGCCCTGTCCGGCGCTTTATTGGTCCCGACAATTGCAACAGCCGAAGCCGGTCCGAAACGAGGCTGGAACGGTCATCATCACGGTGGGCACCACTACAACCACAGACGTCATAGAAACAACAACAACGTTGGCGCAGCCGTTGCAGCAGGTGTGATCGGTCTCGCCGCGGGCGCAATCCTTCTTGGAGCCGCAAACCGGCCAGCTTATGCTGGACCGCCCCCACCCCCGCCGGCGAACTACTACCCACCTGCGCCCTCCCCGGGTCAGGTTCACGGCGCGGTCGGATACCAGCCCTGGAGCCCGGCCTGGTACCAGTACTGTTCATCGAAATTCCGGTCCTTCAATCCCTCGACCGGCACCTACACCACCTATCGGGGCGAGCAGCGTTTCTGCCAGTAACTTTCCGAGTTCGTCCCGCACCTTCCGGCAGCAGGCAAACCGTCAGCCGAACTGACCTCCCGTCTGCTGCATTTTTTTACCTGCGAAACTCGTGATACTGGCAAGGCCCAACTACTGGATTGGCATTGACAATCTTAAAGTCAGATGCGCTTCTTAGCTCAATGCATCGGGCTATTCTTCATGGTTCAATCGTCTGTTTCTTGACCCTGCTCACGCAGATCGGCGGGGTGGCCTGGTTGATTGCACTCGTGACCAAACACCGGCTTCTAACGTTCGCATCTCTTTATGTGGCGCTCACGATTGCAACAATGTTTGTGGCTCCCATGTTTGGACGCGTACCACTGAACTGTCGGTCAGAGGGAGCATTCAAAATGCAGTCTCCGGTCTATTGCGTACTCAACCGGAACTATGTCTCGCCTGAACTGCGCAATGTTGTGCAAGAACTTGCAGATAACGTGTCTAATCAGTTTCCCGGGACAATCACGTTGGCGCTTGATGGAAGTTTCCCCTTTTTTGACAGTTTTCCGTTACTGCCGCACTTGTCCCATGATGATGGGCGAAAACTGGATCTCGCCTTCTATTATCGCAACGATACAGGCTATCTGCCTGGCAAAACTTCTTCGCCAATCGGCTATTTCGATTTTGTAGACGGTGAAACGTCATGCGCCGACAAGTGGCGGTCGTTGCGATGGAATCTGGAGTGGCTGCAACCCCTCTGGCACGATTTTCAAATTGAACCCGCACGCACGCGAGCGGCAATCGCGTGGTTGGCGCATGACCCTCGCGTTCAAAAAATTCTCCTGGAGCCTCACTTGCGAGAAACCCTCGCCGTTCGGTTCGACAAAATACGCTTCCAGGGTTGTTTCGCTGCCCGTCATGACGACCATATCCATTTTCAAATTCATTGACAGATCAGATACGTACAGGTCTTGCCATGGCAGCCGATATCCAGATGCATATGCGACTTGTGAAACTCATCGCCTTCCGGGCTGAGAACAGTCGTAAAGCGCTCGCATGCACTCTTGTGAATGGCTTTCAAATACAGTCCTTGCGCGGTTTCCTGTCCCCAGTCCGTTTCTACTGAAACCGAAGATCCGTCGCGCATTCTAAATCCGGAAATATCAACCGCCTTGCCCAGCGCATGCTCGGAGAGTTTGCCGTCAGGCAGGTTGTTGCGCCGGCGGCAATGATAACCCGGACCAGTGCCAATAACACCAACACCTGCCTTGAAGTGTTGCTCAGCCGCAGGCAGGGCGTCAATTTGGAGCCACTTCGTCAAAACCCTTGCAAACTCGCATGAAACCGTGACCGGATTTTTGAAACTTACGGAAGCTTCCTTGTACATTATCGCCGTGAGCCTGACAGGAGCCTCGACGCCGCAACCGGCATCGCCCGACCGTTCTCCGTTGATATCCGGAAGCAGAGAATAGGTCGCTCCTGTCAAGTTGCATTTCATTGGGGCTGCAGATGGCGCGATCGGTGTCTCCACACGTTCCCTGTCCCGATTGGGTTTGCGCTGCGGGAGGTCAACACCCTCGATAAAAGGCTGTTTGTTCGGGGTTTCCAGTGGCTTGGCGCGTGGCACCGGCTCCAAGGCGTTTACCGGAACCGATAGCATTGCAAGAACTGGCCAAATCACAAATCCGGAAACTGTGACTTTCAGCATGGGCAAACACCCTCTTGCGACAGGAATCAATTTATGGATGACTGCCGACCAGCATCAATCAACGCATATCGATTGTCGAGCCTCCAGAATGACACTTGAATTATATACTGCCTACGTCTTTGCGACACTCATCGTCCTCGCGATACCCGGACCAACCATCATGTTGGTCGTCAGCTACGCATTGACACAAGGACGCCGGTCTGCGTTCGCCAGCGTCATGGGCGTCGGACTTGGCGATGCTACCGCAGCAACCGTCTCACTCCTGGGACTGGGCGCCATTCTGGCAGCATCTGCAACTGCCTTTGCCCTGCTGAAGTGGGTCGGAGCGGCGTACCTTGTCTGGCTGGGGATCAAGATGTGGCGCAGCCGCCCGGGATCTTTGGGCGTGCAGCACGTGGAGAACATCCCCGTGCGCAAGATTTTCTGGCATGCCTATGTCGTCACGTCACTCAATCCCAAGGGCATTGTTTTCTTCATGGCGTTCCTGCCGCACTTTATCGCCCCTCAGGCCACGGTTGCTCCCCAGCTCGTTCTTTTGGGATCGACATTCGTCGTGCTGGGCATTCTGAACGCTGCGGTCTACGCATTTGCGGCGGCAGCGGTCGGACGAAAACTCAGGAATCCGTCACTACTAAGAATGGTCAACAAGGTTGGTGGCGGTTGTTTGATATCCGCGGCTGCCATGACGGCAACACTGCAACGCTCCACCGGCTAGCATCCTTTGCAGGTCTCATCGGCTGGCGGCAAATGGAACATTCTTTTTTGGACGGCGCTTCGATTTTTCGGTGTTCTCGTCCTCTGGCTTGGGGCCGAAAGATGCTCCGGACTTTTTTAATGTCTCCAGAGAACGCTTTGCACCCTGTTCGCTGAGCGCATCATATCGCTGGATAGCCGCATTCTGCTCCAGCCCACCCATCCGCAACCGACGAGCGCGCATGGTCAGAATATCCTTGTAGGCAGCCGCGGTCACACCGTTCGCCTTGCATAGGATGATCAATGCCTTGTCGCTTGCACTGAACAGCAGTTGCGATACCGCCGCTTGAGGCAGGTCGCTGACCCTTGCCAGCAACATGCCCAGCTCAGCTGTACGGTCTGCCCTGGCGAAATTTTTCACCGCTTCGTCAATGTTTGTCTTCTTGCTCATCACATCCTTGATGAGCGCGTTTGACTCTTCTCTCGCATCGTCCAGCTTGTGCGTTCGCGCAGCAACTTCTGTTGCTGCTCTTTCCGCCAGCAGATGAACAAGGGTGTTGTCTGCCCCAAGCGCCGTAATCCGTTCCTGCAATGCAGATGTCAAAAACGGCAGCAAGGCATGCGCCGCCTCCTCCGGAAGATCCGGGCGACTGACCAGCGCCGCCTGAATCGATTCATCGGAACGCGCTTTTTCGACAAGTTTGAGGAACGATGCTTCAGCGAACTCCGCTCCCTCGTTTTCCGCGACTTTCGTCAAAACCTTGCTATCACCCCGGTCAACCAGCACTGACGTCACGGTCTTGTCGACCGTTTTTCGACCGGCAATCGCACCCAGGTGATCCATCGATGCAGAGGAAGCAATCTCCACCAGATCTTCGGACGTCAGCGCTGGGGAGTGTTCAAGCACCGGTTCCGCAACTGCGATCGTATCCTTCGCCAGTTTAACCATAAGCTCGTGAGGAGCACCCTCTTCGTGGCAAACTCTTTTTGCCAGGATCATGCGTGTTTCTTCTTCGAGCTGACCCAGCACCTTCAGAACGATATCGCCAAATAGCAGGCTGATCTGTTCGTCACGGTCGTCACCAGAACTGACAAACAGGTCAGTGAGCGTACTGATCAGGCTCTTGCGGCCGACAGCACTTGTATCTCTTGCCAGCTCCGCCAGTTTCGAAAGATTGAACATCTACACTCCGATGCGCCGACTGCGCTTCGGTTCAAGCTAGCAAGAGCATGTTAACATTACGCTACTCGTGTTTCGCCGTCCGGACGGCGTGTCCGGATCAATTTAAACCGATTGATATTGATTCGAGATTTGGCGCAATGAAAAAAAATCTGACCCAAACAGACAAACCTACGACTTTTGTACAACAGCTTATTTCGTTACCGATCAAGACTTTAAGGATAGAACACACGCACAGTTCAACCAATAAGCGCAATTTTCCGCTGCATCGCAGCATCTTTTTTGCTTCGTTTCCCTAAATCACTGCCTTAATATTGAAGTGTCAAAGTGAGGTAATCGGGAGCGGACAGATGACTCTAGCGCGGAACCTGAACAGGATTGCCTTTGTCGCAGCATTCGTATTCTTGGCTGCAATTGTGGTCGGCCTTATCTAAGCCGGTCCGAAATGCGAGTAAATATAACGCTTTAGGGCGTATGCTTGTAAACTGACAAAATGTAATAACGAAAAGTCTTGAAACTCACGCCAGCCGCACCAGAAGGTGTCGGCGGGCAGAGGGTGTTATCATTCGATTTTTCTGGCAAGACAATTGGCGCAAGGTGCCATGACGCGGGCCTTCGCGCTTGCAAGAAAGAATGTTGTCGAGTGGTCAATACGCACAACCTTTAATTGTGCAAATTATCCACAGGGCGATCTGGCCTGATGTGCCCGGTCCAAACCGCGTATCTCAACCGGGAAATCGGTTTGCTACGCAGCAAGCTCAAGCGTCTTCGCCATTGCCGCGTCCCTATTGGCCGGGTCGGCCATCAGTTGATCGGCTGCAACAATCGTAACATCCTTGATGCCGACAAAACCGAGTACGTGTTCAAGGTAGGTAGAAGCAAAATCTATTTCGGACCCTACTTTCGTACCCCCGGAAGCTACAAGAACATAAGCTCGTTTGTCTTCCAGCAGCCCGATCGGACCGTTTTCCGAGTAAACGAACGTTTCACGCGCTCGCGCAATCTGATCTATCCAAGCTTTCAGTGCAGCAGGAACGGAAAAATTGTAGATAGGTGTTCCGATCACAATGGTATCGGCCGACTTTAATTCACTCACCAGGGTATCGGAAAAAGCAAGTTTCATTCGCTGCTCTGCGCTTCGCCTGGCTGGATCGGTAAAATTGGCTCCAACCCATTCCTCGTCCAGATACGGCAATCCCTGGGAAACATCCCGTACAAGTACTTTTGCGTCGGGATCCTTGCCGATCAGGGTTTTCACCAAGGACTCTGTCAGAGCGCGCGTGACCGAATCTGTCTTTCTGGCAGAGGCATCGATTTGAAGGATAGTGCTCATGATGTTCTCCAAATTGCGAACCAAAGGCTTTTGTTCGAAAGCATGAGATAATAAGTTCGAATGAGGCAAACTAGGTGCAATTTTGTGAACAGTCCGTTGAGAGAGACGGTTGTCAGCTTAACTCATGCGTTCAGACTCGGGCCTTGTGTTCAGGAAGTCCGGTCGCAGCGTTTTGCTTTCGAAATTTTTCAGGGTGTCAGCGTATCTGTCCGACGTATCGCTGCATTCCGTCCGGAGACGGCATGTTTGCGTGTAAGCTGGCAAATTCTGAAAGTTTTTCAGCCACAACCGGCTCAGGCAGAGAACTGCGTCGTGTCGAAAGGTCGACATGCAACAACAACGTCTCCACTGTCGCCGCCAGCTTTTCATCGGCACCTTTCAGAAAATGAAAAAGGTGCAATTTCTTGCCGTCACCATTCAGAACCTGCGTTGTAACCGTCAGTGGTTCACCCGCGCTCAGTTCGTCAAGATGACGGATATGCGTTTCGACCGTGAAATAGCTATTGCCGGATTCGACGTAATCGGCATCAACGCCGATCATTGCCATGAATCTGTCGCTCGCAGCAGCTGCTGCCTCGAGGTAGTGGGCCTCGTTCATGTGCCCATTGTAGTCAACCCAGCTCTGGGGCACTTTCCGGCTTACGGTGACGGGCAGGACTGTGTTCTTGTGAACTGGAAAAGTCACCTCATGCCGACTGATAACCCCCCCAGCCCCGCTGCTGGTTTTTTTGAGGGCGCGCATCATTCCGACCAGATTATCGTCTCGCAGCTGCTCAAGCTCACGTATTGTCATGTGGCCGGACTGGGCATCTGATTGTCCCGCAATCAGACCCACCAGGTCATCGTCAAACTCCGGCACATCCATCAGTTTCGTCCACGGCCATTCCAGTGCCGGTCCGAATTGAGCCATGAAGTGCTTCATGCCCGCTTCACCTCCGGCAATCCTGTAGGTTTCGAACAGCCCCATCTGCGCCCAGCGAATTCCGAACGCCATGCGAATGGCTTCGTCGATCTCTTCCGTTGTCGCAACTCCGTCTTTGACCAGCCAGAGACTTTCCCGCCAAACGGCTTCCAGAAGCCGGTCGGCAATATGGGCATCGATTTCCTTGCGCAATATCAGCGGGAACATGCCGAGTTTTTTCAAGATGTCGGCAGCCTTGGCGGTTACTCCCGCATCTCCGACCAGTTCGACAAGTGGCAGCAGATAAACCGGATTGAAGGGGTGGGCGACGATTGCCCGAGCGCCTTTGCCATTCAATTCGGATGGTTTGAAGCCGGATGTAGATGACCCGATCACAGCGTCCGCAGCAGCAAGCTCTGATATCGCACACAGGGCATTGTGTTTCAGTTCCAGCCTTTCAGGAATACTCTCCTGAACCCAATCGGCCCCAGAAACGGCGTCGGCCATTTCCGCGTGAAATGTCAGCGTTCCTTCCGTCGGCATCAACCTGTCATAAAGGGAAGGAAGGCTTCTGCGGGCATTTGCGACAACTTCATTGATCTTGCGTTCGGCGTCCGGATCCGGGTCGAACACCGCAACGCTCCAACCGTTCAGAAGAAAGCGGGCCGCCCAGCCTCCACCGATCACACCACCACCGACAATAGCAGCTTTCATTTTGGAGCTTTCTTTGTCAGTCCGAGTTGGGACCGGACTTCGTCGGGGCCCATAACGCGCGCGCCCATTCCTTCAATCACCGACGCCGCTTTTTCAACAAGTTGCGCATTTGTTGCCAATACGCCTTTTCCAGAAAGAGATTGTCTTCCAGTCCGACACGCACATTACCTCCCGCCAGAATTGCGGCAGCCGCATAAGGCATCTGATCCCGCCCCAGGCTGAAAGCTGACCAGTTCCAGTCTGGCGGGATCGCGTTTACCATCGCCATGAAGGTATTCAGATCGTTCGGAGCTCCCCACGGAACCCCCATGCACAATTGAACGAGCGCCGGGGAGTCCAGGGTTCCTTCGCTCACCAACTGCTTGGCGAACCAGAGGTGGCCTGTATCGAAAGCCTCGATTTCTGGCTTAACTCCAAGGTCCGTCATCATGGCCCCCATAGCACGAAGCATTCCGGGCGTGTTGGTCATAACATAGTCTGCTTCAGCGAAATTCATCGTCCCGCAATCCAGGGTGCAGATTTCCGGAAGACATTCCGCAATATGAGCCACGCGCTCGCTGCCACCAATCATGTCCGTCCCGGAATCATTCACCGGGAAGGGCGCTTCGGTTGGGCCAAAGACAATGTCTCCGCCCATACCAGCGGTTAGATTGAGAACCACATCAACGTCAGCAGCACGAATGAGATCGGTTACTTCGCGATACAGGTCGAGCCTGCGGGAGGGTACCCCTGTTTCCGGATCGCGCACATGACAGTGGACAACGGCAGCCCCCGCCTTCGCGGCATCGATTGCGCTATCAGCGATCTGTTTCGGGCTGCGGGGTACGTGAGGCGATTTGTCCTGTGTGCTCCCTGATCCGGTCACGGCGCAGGTTATGAAGACTTTCCGGTTCATCTGCAATGGCATGTTATGTCTCCTATCGACCTTTCCAGACAGGGTCTCGTTTTTCTGCGAAAGCTCTCGCTCCCTCGAGCTGGTCCTCGGAGCGATAGAGCCGTTCGACAGTTTCAAATTGGCTTTTGGTAATGCGGTTCAACGCATCCTGAAACTTCATGTCTTCCGCCTCTCTCACGACTTCCTTGATCGCCGCATAAACAAGCGGAGGTCCTGACGCCAGCAGATTGGCGAGTTTCCACGTCTCTTCCTTGAGACGCTCAGGCGGATGGATATGATTTATCAGGCCCCAGCGAGCAGCCTCCTCGGCATCAAGCCAACGGCCTGTCAGAAGCATTTCCATCGCGATGTGATAGGGAATTCGCTTCGGCAACTTGATACTAGCCGCGTCGGCAACCGTCCCAGAACGTATTTCAGGCAAGGCGAAAGTTGCATGATCTGCTGCCAGGATGACATCCGCTGACAACGCGAGTTCCAGCCCGCCTCCACAGCAGATTCCGTTGATTGCCGCAATTACGGGTTTGTTCAGACCGCGCAGTTCCTGGAGCCCACCGAACCCGCCCTTGCCGTAGTCGCCGTCGACTGCATCACCGTCTGCGGCAGCTTTCAGATCCCAGCCCGGACAGAAAAATTTTCCTCCGGCACCAGTGATGATTGCAACACGCAATTCAGGATCGTCTCGAAAATTAGTAAACACCTCCCCCATGATCCGGCTTGTTTCCAGATCGATTGCATTTGCCTTCGGACGATCGAGTGTGACTTCGAGAATTCGGTTTTCTTTCCGGATTTTCAGGGGGCTAGCCATCGTTTTACACCTCACATCTGATCAGCGCGTCCGCTGCAATGGCAAAGTTTTCACCGCAAAGGAGCGGATTAACTTCAACATCCGAAACTGCCGCCGACATGGCATAGGCCTGAACCGACATCACTGCGTCGACAATCGCTGCCCTGTCGCAAGCCGGTTGCCCGCGATAACCCTTCAGGACACACCCAATCTTCAATTGATCCAACGCCGTTTCAACGTCACTCCGGGAAACAGGCAAGATCATCGAGAAGCTGTCTTGAAGCAATTCGGTAAGCACTCCGCCGGCAGCCAGCGTCAGCACATATCCGTGAGCCGGATCCAGCACGACACCAATCAGCAATTCGATCACCGCATCAGAAATCATTTCTTCAACGAGGAACGTTTCAGCAGGCATTGTTGACGCCGCATCCATGACATCCTGTCTGGTTTTCAATAGCAGTGCGACCGCACCTGCTTCACTTTTGTGCGCAAAACCAACACCTTTCAGGACGACAGGAAATCCGATCTGTACAGCTGCATCGGCTGCATGTTTCGAAGAATGCACACTGATACTCTTCGGGGTTCGAAGTCCATGACTTCGCAGAAGTGCTTTTGCCTGCGCTTCCCCGATCACAGTTTCTTCCTTTGGCGTTCTGGGGATATGGATCGCATCCTTGGACGGTTCCTTGCCGGCAAATGCTGCAGCTTCGATGGCGGCAAGCGCGTCTTCCAACCCGCATAGCGGAACCAACCCTCGCGCGAACAAATCAAGTGCGATCGCCTCGGGCATTGTCTCTTGCAGGGAGCTGAGAATACCCATCGGCTTGCCGCTGTTGTTTTTCGCAATTTCCACCGCATCAATGACTTGCAACCAATCATCCAAATCACAACGGTCGGAGCGTGGGAAATCAAGTACAACGACACCGAAGGAGGCTTCGCCCTCCATCATGATCGAAAAGACGTGACTCATGGAATCGACGTCTCTCCAGATGTAGGTGTGGTAGTCAAGTGGATTGGCCAGGGCCACCTTGTCGCCGAGCAATTCATTCAGAACCGTTTTTTGTGTAGCACTCAGTGCCGGAAAGGTGATGTTTCTATCCGAGGCCAGATCCGCAATGAGGCTCGCTTCGCCACCTGAACATGACATGGACACGATACTGCCATCGGCAAGTGTCCCGACCATGTGCATCATCTTCAGTGTTTCCAAAAACGTGGAAAGACTCGTTACTTCGGCAATTCCCAGCTTTGAAAAGAGAGCACTTGCACCGACTGCGCTACCTGCGAGCGACGCGGTATGAGACATGGTTGTGGACCGCGCTTGAGCGGATCGACCAATTTTCAAGACGACAACGGGTTTGCCCGCTTTTTTGGCACGTCGCGCAAAGTTTTCGAATGCCGACAGGTCATCCAGGCCTTCAACATAGAGCCCGATCGCAGTAACCCGCTCGTCGCCAAGAAGAGCTTCTGCGATCGCGGACAACCCGGTCTGAGCCTGGTTCCCTGCGGTCGCAAGATACGCAATCGGCAAACCTCGCTTCTGCATCGTTAGGTTCAGCGCGATATTGGACGACTGCGTCAGGATCGCGACACCGTTGGTCACTCCAACCAATCCGTGCTGATCCGGCCAGAGCGCGGCGCCATCCAGTGCGTTGATGAAGCCATAGCAATTCGGTCCCAATATCGGCATCTCGCCAGCCGCTTCAACCAGAACGTCCTGTAGATTGTCGGCGTCCTCAAGTTCAGCTGACGCTTCTTTGAAGCCAGAGGCGAAGCAAACGGCACCGCCTGCGCCAATCTTCGCAAGTGTTCGAACGATCTCTATGGTCGAATGGCGATTGACCCCGACAAATGCGGCATCAGGAACGAACGGCAGTTCTGCGACAGAGCGAACGGTGGGCGAACCAGACAGTTCCTTCTTGCTGGGATGGACCGCACAGATATCGCCGCAAAACCCGTTTTTGCGGCACTCACGAATAACGTTTTCACACCAGGCTCCACCACATCCCGGATTTTTCACAGAGTTGCCTTTTTCCCTTTAGAAACGGAAAGGATCCGACATCAGGACATCCCCATCTTTTTTCTTTGTACTCAAACAAATTGGCTTCCGTTTGTGGCGACGGCAGCACACTGCTGGTTTTCTGCTCCAACTAGTCCAATCGCCAATCTATGCCTCAGCAAGTTCGCCAACACTCTTGCCTCGACAAAAACAAAGGACTCCCTAAGAAACACCTGCATTCTAGGTGAGCTCGTAAGCGGTGTGAGTCAAGCTTGACTTGATCCAGTCTTTACAAAATAAAACCCAACATCCACGGCCGCAACCTGTTCCTACGTGAAACTGCGACCCCAAGTCAGTCTTGTTTATCTAGAAAATAGCTTGGATGCGGTTTCTGTGGGTTTCACCTGGTCTTCCCCTTTTTAGTGATCTTTTAGTACTCCTTGAACATGCTACTGGGGTGGATCCACAAAAGCCACATCCACACCGTTTTTTAGAGTTTAAAAGGTATGCTGAACATCATGATCTTCCAGCCCCCGGGTTTCCGCTTTAAAAATAAACACACATTTCGCCAAGTTGCAACTCGGTGCAGCACCATAAGAACATGAATAGGGCAAGCGTCCTTTGAGTCGGCACCCAACCTCCCTAAGACTGGGGGGGAACCAAACTCGACACTGGCTTTCACGGGACAACTCAAACCTCCCAAAGTTTTCGGGGGCACAAATTCATCCAATACTTCAACCTTTGGTTTTGGCCACTAGAGCTTTGAGTTGACTTCTCCACAAGACTTCAAACTCCAAACCGCTCTCAGGTCGAACCTGGAACTACCACCCTTGCAAGCCCAAAGAGTTTTTCTGCTCAAATAAATCGGTGTGGGTCAAAAATAGGTACACAACATGGCTTGCCCTGGTAAATGGAAACAAGGACGAAATCTTGCGGTCCAATTCCAGGTGGTTTAATTTTGACCCATACCCAAATAGATTTACCCTTACAAGTAGACCCTTGCACCCCGCAAAGCCCAGGCTGCTCCTTTCATAGTGAATGCGATGCGACCAAGCCGGGATGGTTCACACCGTTTCCCGCAAGGCAACATGGGGCAAAGAACCACCAGGTCGCCAGCAACAAAACATCTCACTCTGGGCCAGTGCAGCCAAAGCACATGGGAGGCTGTTGAGGCATCTGCGCGACCTGAGAACGCTATCTTGTTCTCGTCCCACACACACACACACATGCGAACCACCACAGGAATACTCTTCTGGGTGTCATATGGGATGTGATCTTTAGTGGTTGGAACATCCTCCAACGTGGTTGGCAGATATTATATATAT